CCGTCTCCATCTGAGAAACCTTCAGCGTAAGAAGGTTTACTTCAAGCTTTCCTTAAGACCATGAATATACAACCTGGACCCAGCTGAATAAAGGGAGTGTGTATGAATGTTATGTTGCCTTTATAGATAGAATGACATTAAAATAATAATTAATATATCTATAAAAAATAGTATCTAAAATCTCGTGTGTAATCTTAGTTGTTTGTTGGATTTTTCTTAAAATAATAGTAATAATAATATGTGATTAATTATATGTTGGCACGTATAAATAACGATTAATTATATGATGACACATATATAATACATATAAAAATAAAATGAAAACAAATAGCGGTGTACTGCTGCAACCACAATATCGGATCATGTCTTGATAAAGCTCTGTGGCGACACGATCATGATATATTCAAGCCATCCTTCTCAGCTGCAAATACATGGGATTAACTCAGAGAGTAAAAGGATAAAGTCTCATGGCACCATCTTATTTGGTTCTCACAAGCGATCCCAAGACAATCGTTTATGGTCTGTCTAGCATAAAGGACATATTATATACAAGCATGATAATGAGAGGTTGGGGGTATAAAGCAAGGTTGTGTGTTCTGTGGTGAAAGAGATGAGAGTTGTGACCATTTATTTTTTGCTTGCCCCTACACCTTCATGGTATGGATGAATACTGCAGAAGGGTTATTTGGCGCAGCAATAACACCAGACTGGGATGACACATTGGTCACTATGCTTCATTCAACCCAAAGTAGAATATACACTATTCTCCCGAAGCTAGTATTTCAGACATCTATTTACATTCTGTGGAAGGAGAGAAACTGAAGGAGGCATGGAGGTTTGTGTCCACCGGTGGAAGTAACAAGCAAGGCTATTGGAAAGGTTATCAAGATCAAAGTATCCACGGATAAAGATCTTTATCTAAATCCGAGTCTTCTATTTCATTATTCCTCCAAAAAAATAATCCAAATTGGAATAAATACTTGTTATTGAAAATATGCTTGGAAGACATACTATAGCGAGAGCCAAGTTTGTAAGGCAGGTGAACATTCAAAAATCCAAGGATCCTCCCATTCTCTAACCTCATAACATGAGTGAATCTTCTGTCTAATCTACAACGATAATAGATGACTTGTAGTATATAGACTAGTCCACATATATGAGGGAGTCTTTGTAGTACGTATTTGCAAAGGTTAACTAAGCCTATAATACTTTGTGGTGCAAAACCCGAACTAGCAAAGAGTCTGGATAAAATACTAATCGCCGTAATTGTTTTACAATCAGCGCCAAGTCAAATTCATAGACATACAAAATTTAATGCCTACTTCATCTCTCGGTATGCAACGTATTCCCTATTTTACCCAATGAAGACCTTTTTAGGAGAGTTCGAACTCCATCATACATGTGTAATCTCACTTGAAGTCTCTGACAGAATTCCAAAGGAATCAAGAAGCTAAACATAATGTAGATAGAAAGCGTGATGATAACTCCTTCCATGTTCTTGATAACAACCGTGTTGACCACCTATTCAGTCTGTTGCATTTAATCCACTAATATTCCTAGGTATTATTCCCAAGTAAGAAGTCATTCCCCATTTATTATAACTCTAAAAATATTTTTGATTTACGTTCTTAGAAACTGTCTTACCAAAGAAAAGAGATGGTTTATCAAAGTTGATATACTATCCTGAATATTTTCTGTATTTTCTTTTGAGATTATTTTTAAATTCAGTCATAATTATGTACTAGATCATCATCCACGCTTTGCAAGCGCATGGAACATTTTATGATGAATTCACTACTAAACTTAGCAAATATTTTATTAATTAATAAGAATTTTGTATATTTAATATATTTCTACATTTAAATCATTGCTTTTAAATTTGACCCGGATCTGCGGTCAATCCCGTTCATCCGGTGATCCAATAATTTGGTTTAGATTTTAAAAATATATATATTTAAAATCGGTAAAAATCACTAAAACTTGAGACTAATCGATTGAACTGATGGATGACTCATATATAACCCAATTTGATTTAAATTGTTATAGCTTCATAATTTGTTACTTCTTAATCCATATTTTGAAGTTCATTATTTTGCAATTTTATGAAATACTGACGTTTTCTATAACATTTTGATAGAGAAAATGATAGATACGCAATAATTAAGAACTATGAATATGTCTTAATCATATTACTCTTTCTATATAGCTTAATTAACTTTATTATAACTGTTTCGTGTAATTTATCTTACTAATAATTTGGTTCATATTATAATCAGTTTAAGTTTGTTGTGTACAATTAAGTTAAGCATTTCAGTACAGATAATATATATTTGGAATATTTTTCATAATTATTTTTGATATTATATTTATTATACAATATAGTTCTATATATATATATTATGTAATGACTTGTATAATTTATTATGTTACTTGAGTAAATGATATAACCATTATTTATGAAATACATATCAAATAATCTGTTAAATTATATGATGTTCTTGATTGAAATGTTATTGTATTATTTAAGCCTGCAAAAAAAATTATATTTATTTTCTTGCTTTTATAAATTATTTTCCTTTTCAGTTATTAATTTATCAAAAATAATTGTTAAAAAAATATTAAAACGATAAGATTTAAGGTTTTATATTGTTTGGGCACAAAACTATTTACAGTACTAGGTAATGATCCACACTCTGTGCAGAATGAAATATGTAAATAAATTTTTAAGTTAAGTATTTGTGATCATGTTAATTATAATTTTAGTATCAGCATATGAAGTGTTTTATGAATATATTAGTATAAAAAATCTTATCATAATATCATTGGACAATACATTAAATAAAATTTATTAAGTTTAATACTGTGACATGTATTGTAAATTGTTCGTTTCATTAAACTTCTGTAAACCCGTAAATATTACCTTGTGAACCAAATAAAAATTCCATGGATGAGAATTTTGATCGTGATGGTAATATGCCAATATTTTCAACCAAGCTATCCATCGATCGATATATATAAAGTAGGTTTTTCTCCCTCTAACCTCTGCCATATCATCAAATAGAGGGAGAAAAGACTGACACCTCATCATCTTATACAATAAAATTAAGTTTTTTTTCTCCATTGGGGGATTAATGACACTTGGCTTCTCTTTTTTTTTTTAAACCGTAATATGATGTTCAGATTGGGCTATTGTTGCGAGTCAACTTTCCTCAGCCCAATAAATATTGTTTTGTATTTTATAAAGTTCGGTTTAGCTATGTATATCAGGGGAACATGCCCATCACCCACATCATATCATCTCTTCCGCCTTCTCCTCTGTGTCTCTAAATACATCTCTTTCACTGTTTTGTAACCGACAAAATTAAGGCCAGACACCACTCCCCCGCGATTAATTTTTGATGTTTATGACGACATTCAATCGTAGCATTCAACGACTTGAAAATCTTTTCGCCTCATCTCGCTTTGTCAATCATTTCAAACCCTATATATTTGGATCTGAAGGGAACGTCTATCACTACTATTGTCGTCTCGATCTCTTTTATTATACAGAAGCATATCTAAGAAGGTTACGATGATGGCGAGTCCTCAACTGCTTCTTTTTGAGCTGAAAGCTGGTCGGAGTAAGGAGACTGTTTCCGCCCAGCTCCTCAAATGACATAGTTATGTCGGATGAGAATTTGAATAGACCTCCTGAAGAAACCAATGCAGATGAAACAATCATTGAGGTTGATGAGCCAGATCCAGATGATATGGAGAGTCAAAGGATCCAAGACTCTATTACCATCATATTTAACTGTCTCATGAAAGCCTTCAAAACTAGAGTAACCTCCGGTGAAGCAACCAGTGTGCTACAAATTGTTAGGATTTCAACATTTGCCTAGTGTTTAAACTTAGATAGAAATCAATACCAAAACCTTGTCTTTATTCACTTAAAGAAATCTATTTCTCAAGAAAAATATTAGAGATTACAAGCCAATGATTAACAAAAAAACCCAAACTCTTGTAATTGCTTAATCTCTTGTTATCTCTCTCTCTCGTGCTCTTGCTTTCGGATTATCAACCAAACCTCGATCACCTCTTCTAATATAATAATAAATATGTGATACAAACCGACATTCGTATTGTTACGTGACAAAGGATCAAGAGAAGAATCCTAAGACATAAGGAAAAGGATTATTTACATAATCTTATACGACATTAGGATTCCATAAGTCAGCTACTGTTTGAGTATAAATTGAAGACGTCACAACCTTAGGTAATCATCCGAAAGATCCGAGAGAAACCCTAGACACAAGGACAAAGAGAAAGAGTTAGAGAGACATCAAGAGTAGAAAAAAATAGGGCAAGATATTGTTCGAATCATGTCTTTGCGGGAGAGAGTTTCCTTTTATCTTTCTTATTCTTTGTTGTGTAGAGCGTTTAGAGCGTTTGTGTAAACCCCTTTGATTGATAGTGGATGTTGTGGGAGATGGTTCCCACCCGAGACGTACCGAGTTCGAGGCCGGGAACTCGGTGATCAAATTCAATGTGTTATTTAGTTTAGCAATCAAACGATCAATAATTCATAACAACTGGTATCAGAGCAATCAAAGTTTTGATTGCGGGTGTTAGTGAGATTACAGAGTCGACACATTGAAGGGTTGTGGAGTTGAAAGATTTTGGGAGATTTGAAGACTGGTTTAGTGGTTGTTATGATGATATGGAGACCCCGTGATCTAGATTTTGGGAGAACACAAGGAAGTAGACCGGTTTTAACAATAGAAAGTCAACATTTTTTGTTGTTAGTTAGGTTGTATCTTGGCTTGTTTTAGTTGTTGAAAATCTATTTAGTTTGGTGTTCAAGGATGGGTTGATAGAGCAACATGACTAGGGGACGTTTCAGGAATGGTATATATGTGCAGAAAGTTGTTTCGAGATTATGTTAAAAATCTGAGATTCAAGGAAAGGTTATAGCAGAAGAGTATTGAGGTGAAACATGGAGGTATCAGAAAGTCTTCAAGGAGGGTTTAAGTGTCAGGGATACGGATCAGATACAATGGAAGAGCCAAAGAAGAGCACAAAGGTTGTGTGAAGTTCTGTAAAAAAAAAAGATACAATGGAAAGTTGTATCGAAAGTCTTCCCAACACGAATGGTATGGAGGCGTGTTCCATCATGAATGATGACGGTACAAGATGGATTCAGAGTTGAGGAAGCTCAAGGGAAAGAAAATCTAGCAGCAAGGTTTAACACTGTTAGTAAGGTTCTGTTTAACAAGAACCATGTATATCATAGAAGAATCAATTGGTTTAAGGATAACCGGTACCGATTATTAGCTGGAAGGAACAAGCGAGAGATTTAATTTCCCGGTCCATTCTTCACCCGGTTTCAAAGTGATTGGTTTCTCAATAGCTGCTCCATCAACACACAACATATGTTTATACTCTTCATCTCCCATATCCATCAATGCTTTAGCTTTCTTCTCCCATGGATTCCATACCACTGCAACATAACCGAGAATATTATTCTGTCAAAAAACCGGATTCTTGTAACAAAGGATGGTTAAGGTTTCCGATATCTTACCAACATCTGGTAGACCTTCTTTCTTGATAAGGAATGTACGTTTTTTCGCATGGTCGAAGACGGCAACCACGTCTTTAGAGTTCAAGTACACTCTATCGATCTCAGACTCAAAGGTTAGTGCATCACCTTGCTCAGTAAACCGCTCTTTATCAAACAAGTTATCAAGATAGTCGAGAGTTTCCAGCCCTTCAACTCTAACTTCACTGATGAAAGAACCAAAAAGGAAATAAAGAAAGCATTGAGTTCTTGTGTGATCCTTGTAGAGAGATTAGGGAGGCTAAAGCTCGGTGTGTTTTCACCTGATATCGGAAATGGAGAAGTAAGTGTGGTAAGCAATGGAAAAGTTAAAAGGCTTTGAATTGATGTTTCTGACTCGTGATATCAGTGTTAGGTTCCCATCTAGTGCGAGTGAAACTCTAAGGTGAAACTCAAAGCTGAAACAAGAAAGATAGTGATTATCAATGTTCGAGAAATCGCTAGAAGTAATTAGGTGTTTCATACAAAATATTACTGTCTTAACGTGCCTAGGCGGGTGTCTAGGCGTCATCTAAACGTTTTTTAGAAACACTGTTACATTTATAACCAATTTATCGTTTAAGCGGGTGCTTAGGTGACCAATTTTTAGAATATTGGTGGTTATTAAGCAATCTAAAATGAAGAAAAACAGAGGATAATATTGAGGAATCACAAAAGAATTCAACCTGTGAGGCCATATCCTTGTTGTGTCTTCATCAGAGGGTTTAAGTACCAAATCGACATAGGCATTATCAGTTGAGTCGAATGAAGGTAAAGCAGGTGGGTTCTCTTCCACAAGCCACAGCTTGTTTCTTGCAAAACCGTGTTGCTCAAGCGATCCTCGAGTGCCAAACTATATGAGAGAAAATAATAATTTCTAGAAAGGTGATCAAATAATTCATGTCCAAGATTTACAAATTAAGACTTAAAACTATATGAGAGAAAAGAATAATTTCTAGAAAGGTGATCAAATAATTCATGTCCAAGATTTACAAATTAAGACTTATAAGGAGTCAAAACTCAATGTACCTGAGGAAAGCATATAGGGATTCCTCCTCTTACCGGATGGGGAGGCTTCGAGTTAGCCTGAAGCAAGAGTATGTTCACCAAACTCTACAAATGAACTTTATTAAGTGTTAAGAAAATAGCCGAAATTTTTACCTTGGCACTGGTGAATAACAATTCAACACCCTTGTCAGTCTTCCAAGAAAGAACTTGTCCTCCATGTAAACTGATCTGAACAAACCATCATCCAAAGCAAAAAAAAAAGCCATCAGCTCTATTAATAAAAAAGAAAATGTATGTACACATATTACATCTAAAATATCATGTTTTTCTTGTCAAGAGAGCTTGGAGCTATTTATGAAACTTCAAGAATCAGAGCACAGATCACAAATAGGAAACAGAACAGTCCAACACGCTTATAAACTCTCTCTGGACCTTAAAACAGAGCCATTAGGACCACTAAACCCAACTAAATACAGTATTGAGAATCTTAGATAAGTAAACAATGGAGAAAACAAAAAGCTAAGCTATCACCTTTACAGAAGCGCCTTTAGGATTCTGGAGAAGAATCTGAGCGGTTCCATTTTTATCCTTGACCAAGTCAACGGTGGGTCTCTTCTCATCACTGACTCCAGATGGTTCCATTGTAATAAGCAACAAAAGAGAGAGGCTTTGATTTTGTTTTCTTTCCCCCGTTTTTAAACCGACTTAAAATTAATATATTAGGCGAAGAAGTCACAAGAAGAAGAAGAAAACTTTCTTGTGAGATCAACAAGAAACCCTAAGTTTTCTCGTGGGATTGAAAACCTAAAACCCAACCAACACTTCAACTGCTATGTCATTTTCTTACACCGATAAAGCTGCAACACACACACACACACGACATCAAAATTAAAAAGAGGTAAAGACGCGTATAAGCTAAGGATTAGATGTAACTTAACAGACAATATATTACGTAACGAAATCAAGAAACCAGAAAGCATAAACACACACATTTTCGAACCTTGGGAAGAATATGAAGTATTCAGATTAGGAAAAAGGGAAGGAGATATTTAAAGACCACAAGTCATAAAAAATGGGCAGTGTGTTGAAAAGGTACAAAGATTCAAAAGAAGCATACCAAAATGGTATTTTATAAATGTATATATATATATATATATATATATATATATAAATATTTTTTTTTTCTTCTTTCAAAAGGGCCTTTTCCATCATCAATTACTGAATAATTCTTCAGTGTATAATTGACGATTATTGATAATATTACTAAAATTTGTTTTGTCTAGCGCAATTCTGATATCGATCATGCATTTGAACTATTTTTAGTCATTTAACATTTCTTTATTTTAATAATTTCTAATAAAGCGTCCTGAAATTCAATTACGTCGTTCAATAGCCAAACTCTATAAAGTCATGAAATGTCACGTGTAAAACCTACGACTGAAGCAATTACACGTAACACCTTAATCCATTTTCTTCATGAAATGGTTAAATACTTGTCCTATGTTTGTAACAGTAAATATCATTTTTCGTTTATTCTTTGGTAAGATTGGCTGAGTTAATAAACTGAAAATGGATATCTATTTATATAACAGTAAAAAACGTTTAAGTGAACAAGATGATGGGAGGACAGCTAGTTGTGATTATAGGTGTGTGGTGTGTGGATGGGTGAATCTTGACATGCGACCATGATTAACCGAATTAACTACTTGTTTAGATTTAGAGGGAATAATTTTTTTTTTTTAACACTAGATAATTATACTATTACAAATTACGAGAAATGTTACAGACGAGTCAACAGCTGACAATTTTATATCTGTCTTATGAAGATTCACACACGCCTGACTGCATCACATGAGCCGCCCTATCGGATCCACGCTTGACGATACTCCTTGTGTTATGCTGCAGATCTCTTGTAAGTCTTTTCTCCATTAATTCGCATAATTCCGTCTTCTCTAGGATTCGAACCCGTTACCTGCTGGTGTAGAATCATTAATGAACCCTTAATTAAACCACTGGACCAAGGAGGCTACTACAGGGAATAAATTATTAGTATTACTTTTTTGACGTCGGAATAAATTAATTGAATATCTCGTTAATTATTAGTAGTACTTATAAATTAATTAGTTCTATAATATGACTCTAAACTTCGTCGCATGTCATAAGTTTTAATGCTTTTCGATCAATTCAGCAGATAAACTACATGCATTCTATAATTATGATCTTGTAAAGGGTTCATGCAATAATCTGAAAATGTAGAAATCGAAGTTAGCATATAGCCAAAACTCCTTAATATCAACACACCGGATTCATAATCTGACTGAGTTAGTTTTACATTGAATATCATTGAGTAAGATGGTTTTGCTGATAATTCATTTGTAATTATGCGTCCTTGACTCCTGTTATCATTTCTGAAAACTTTTGAAAGAAACAAATAAAGACACAACAGACATGCGTATAATAGTATTCTGAAAATGACCACCTTATCGTCCGACCTATGTGGACAAATAAAATTGATTTTTGTATATTTTGATTTCGTTTCTAGGTTTCTTCATGAACTCGAATCTTTACAAGGAATACTACAACTAGGTTATTTTATTAAAAAAAATTAACATTAGAATCTCTAAACTAAGTTTGTTTTGAATAAATATCTCAAACTAAGTATTTAATGAGAAAAGCTCCAAACTAACTCTATTTAATTGAATAAACCATCTGTCTATAGTATATGTCAAAATGGCCACTAGCACCAGTAAATCTTTAGTTTAAGAGTTTTTATACTAACTAAACATAATTAAGGTATTTTACCACTAAAAAAATAAAAAGAAAAGAAATGAAAAAATAAAAATATAATACCTATATCTAAAAACTAGTAACTTAAATTTACAATTTCAGCATTTAAAAAATTTATGCAAATATATTAGTATGATTTATTTTTAAAATCAACATTTTATATGTAGAAATTCAAAATATAAAAAACCAAATATATTATAAAAATCTGTATTTACCATTAAGATATAAAAAAGCCAAAATAAATATATATGTAAAATTTAAAATGAATAAAATTATCTAAGAAGTAGTAAATTAAATTTTCAAAGTTAGCATTAAAAAATTTATGCAAATTGATGAGTTTAGTTTGTTTTAAAATCAACATCCCCTATATATTAATACTGGAGCAGTACAACATTATTTGGTAGCAATGTGTCACAATGAGAATGATTTTCATAACTCTTAGAGAAACATGTTTGTCCAACTGAACATATGTTATATTTTTATACTAACTATCATATTTAATTAGTAGTGTACAAAAGAATATTTCATATTCTTTCCTTAGATAAAAGCTACGGAATTACATAATATGATTAACATATATATCACAATTAATGTTTATGAATAATAAAGATTTGATAACAATTTTTTATCCTCTCTACTTTTTATTTAATTTTTTATTATTAAAAAAATAATCACATTAATCATATAATAAAAAAATTAGATTTTTTTATTATATGTTATATTTTGAAATTTGTAAAACGATCATAAATTACTAAAAATGGTAAAAATCTTAAATTGAAAATTTTGTGATCAGTGATAACGTTTTTTTAGTTCAGCCAATAGTTTTTCTAATGGGTCTTAAACAGTTTATAGTGATTAACTAAATAGATCGCTCATAATAGAGTGTGCTTTGTTTAAAAATTATTGCATACTCAAAATCAATATGAACCATCATCCATTTTCGTTTAAATTTTTTTTACAATAAAAAATATATGGTTAGGCACAAATTGAATCCAAATAACCAAACCAAATCTAATCCGAAAAGTAGTACAAAATCTTACCAAAATTGGTTAGATATCCAAACGGATTCAAAATTTTGGTATCTAGAGAACCAAAACTGAATCAAAATATCTCGGGTATCCGAGTGTACTCGAATCAGATTTATATACTTAAATTATTAATTATTTTTAAATTTAACATCTAAGAATATAAAAAATACATGAGATTTTTTTTTCCAAAATACTTAGAAATATAAAATAGTTAAATGTAAATTTTTAAAATAGCTAAACGATACTCCAAATACCAAAAATATTTGAAATATTTATTGATTTTTTGTCCAAATATTTAAGATAAACCATTTTTATGTTAAGTTTAAGTATTTTGGTATTCATTTTTCAAATTTATATGCTATATATTATTTTTTACTTTTAGATTTTGAAAAATTTAAAGTATATATGAATTTTAATCTTTTTAAAAATAAAAAATAAATGGGTTATCCAAACTTAAAACCAATCCGAACCTACAAAGATTTGAACCAACCCGCAAATATCTAAACCAAACAAAATCTAACCGAACTAAATGATAACTAAATGCCCATTGATCCCTAATCAAATGTTATTGATAGCAAAATATATATTTAAATACAACATATTTTTAAAAAGCTCACCCCGCGCATGTTGCGGATTATCATCTAGTTATATATGTATAAATTGACTGGCAGTAATGGATCTTTTGATCGGCATTAGAGTAAAACTAATTGTCTAAAGATTAGTAACTAATATTTGAAAATTTAAGTTACTAATCGTTAGATAATGTTATTCTATTTTTTTTCATTTTTTGGTTTTTTAAATGTTTAGTGGTAAAATACCTCAATTATGTTTAACAAGTTTAAAAACCTCTAAACTAAAATTTTACGGATACTAGTGGTCATTTCGACATGCACTGTAAACAGATGATTTAATTCGTTAAATAAAGTTAATTTGGGAGATTTTCTCATTAAATACTTAGTTTGGAAGAATTTTACTCAAAACAAACTTAGTAGAGGAATTTTAACATTAAAAATCCATATTAAAATGACTGTAAAATTATTCTTTTAGTTCCGGAAAAAATATTATTTACTCCGAATTGAATAAAATTACCACTTCATTCGTTTATAAAAATAAACATATTTTAGATATTTGTTTCACAATATTTTTGATGAAGAAAAAGTGAATTTTTTTTTTTTTGAAACTAATAAACTTATTCTTACTTCCCTATATTTCTTTCGTTTTTAGTTCTATCAATTCTCTCTTGTGTTTACCATTTATATTTTTATCAAGCCATCAACAGCTCAGCGGAATCGACAATTTGATTACATGGGACAAAAAATTCTCATACAACTTTAGTCAACGATACAATTTGATGTGCGAGACAACTTGGTCATGGTTGACTTGGACGTGGCTGACTTTTCAGACAAGGCGACTCGTTAAAACAACAAGTATTGGGAAACAAATGCTACTTTTTTTTTGTATTCATGGAGTCTTCTCCGTCTTCGTCTCCGTCTCGAAACTGGAGATTCAACGTCTTCCCGAGCTTCTGCGGTGAAGATATTCGCAAAAGCTTTCTAAGTCACTTCCAGAAGGAGTTGCAAAGGAAAGGAATCACCACTTTCATCGATCATGAGATCAAGAGGAGCAAAGAGATCGGCCCTGAGCTCGTGGCAGCGATCAGAGAATCAAGGATCGCAGTCATCTTGCTCTCCAAGAACTATGCATCTTCGACGTGGTGTTTGAACGAGTTGCTCGAAATCATGAGATGTAAGGAAGAGATTGGCCAAACGGTGATGCCCGTTTTCTATGAAGTTGATCCATCTGATGTCAGAAAGCAGGGCGGCTATT